AGGGAGGGGGAGGGGGAGAGGGGGAGGAAGGGGGGAGGGGGAGAGGGGGAGGAAGGGGGGAGGGGGAGGGGGAGGAAGAGGAAGAGGGAGAGGATGGAGTGGAAGAGGAAAAGGAAGAGGGAGAGGGAGAGGGGGAGGAAGAGCGAGAGAGGGGGGAAGGGGAGGGGTGAGGGAAGGAGAGGAGAGGAAAGGGGAGGGGAGGAGAGGGGAGGGGAGGGGAGGGGAAGAGGAGGTATAGAAAGAGGAGGGAGATAAAAACAGATGGGGAGAGGAAATGGAGAGGAGAAGGGGGATACAGGCAGGGGGCGGGGGGGGGGAGGAAGATGAAAGTGTAGGAAAAGGGAAAGTGGAAAGAGAGGGAGTAGGAGAGGAAAGGGAGATAAGAAAACTGGGGCAAAGACGCTACTAAACCTATACGTCGTATCTTTAATATCTTCATTGTATTTATCAATGTTATTAGTATTAACACTTATTTTGGAAATTGCTAATAGTACTCTACGTGTATATTACTATTACTATTACTATTACTATTACTATTACTATTACTATTACTATTTATACTAATGTTACTAAAAGTGTTCATACTACTACTGTTCTAATAACAGTGAAAACGATAATGAAATTCCATCACTATCGCAGTTACCAGAATTATCATTATCTTTCGATGTTTTATTATTGTTATCATCCTGCTTTCTATCTCCATCTCTTCTCACTTCTTTCCAATTTCCTTCTCTCTGGTCCTTTATCCCCTGCACCTCTCTTCATTCCCTGCATGATCCTCTCTTTATTTCTCCGTAATCCTATAGCCTTTCATTTTGTTTATTTTCTCATTCTATTCCCCCCTTTGCTTCCATTCCTCTTTTCCTCCGCGATCGCCAACTCTCCTCTTCGTCATCTTTTCCTTTCTGTCCACGGTTCAGGCCTTCCTCTCCCCTTCTGCTTTCTTTTAATTTTATCAGGCATTTCCTATTCTTCCATCTCTTACCTCCCTCTCCTATAATTTCTGTTGCTAGTTCCGTTTATTTTCAAAGCTCTTATGATATTAGGGAATTAGGGGCTGTACACTTGATCACAGGGAATCCACACAAAAATATTCATCGACGGTGTACAAGTCCCTTCGCGAAGGCATTTACACATCACACACACATAAAACCCATTCCATACAACGAAAAACACACGTAAAAACACACACACACACACACACACACACACACACACACACACACACACACACACACACACACACACACACACACACAAAACACGCGCACGCACACGGCCGCCGTGTATCGAGCAGGGCGGAGATAGAGCAATTGTGATGGGTCAAATATCCTGCTATTCCGACTCCATATCCTTTCAGCCAACGTCCTCATATCCTGTGCTGACTGCGGGAGAGAAGGAGAAGGAAGGAGAGGGATGGGGGAATTTCCATGTCCCCTATTGCGCCGCTCTCTGTCTCCCGTTCCTCCACATCTGTCTCCCTGTCGTTATCTGTCTGTCTGTCTGTTTGTCTGTCTGTCTGTCTGTCTGTCTGTCTGTCTGTCTGTCTGTCTATCTGTCTGTCTGTCTGTCTGTCTGTCTGTCTGTCTGTCTGTCTGTCTGTCTGTCTGTCTGTCTGTCTGTCTGGCTGGCTGTCTGTCTGTGTCAGTTTCTCGCTTTTTCTGTTTTATTTCTTTATCTCAGTCTAAGCCTAGCTCTTACTCCTTCCATCCATCTGCTGCTTTCTCTTTCTCTTTCCCTCTTTCGTAACCACCTAATATACTTTTCTCTTTACCTTTCACAGCCTTTCCTCCCCCCCCCCACCTCTCTACAATTTACCTCTTCCTCGAAGTTATTTACCACCCTTAGCCACGTTCTCCTTTTTCTCTCCCTCACTTTCTCTCCTCCTTTCCTTTTTCTTACTTCAACTTCTTCGCTCCTCTTTCTTCGCACCAGATTCCCACAGCCACATCTCCCTCCGCCAAGCCCTCTCCTCCCGTTCCCTCTCCCCTTTCCCCCTTCCCTTCCCTTTCCCCTTTCCCGCTCCCCGCCCCTTTCCCTCCTTTCTGCCCCTTTCCCTCCTTTCTCCCCCTTCCCGCCCCATTCCCTCCCCTCTCCCCCCCTTCCCGCCCCATTCCCTCCCCTCTCCCCCCTTCCCGCCCCTTCCCCTTCCCTCCCCTCTTACCCTCCTCACCCCCCCCCCCCGAAGAGGACTTCATCCGCCTCGCCCCCCTCCCGCAAACAAACACGGCGCGCCCGGAACCTTCAGAACCTCCGGAGGACAAAATTGCATCTGAGGAAGCATTCTTCTAGGGTCGGCGTGCTCCGTTCTGCCGGCGATCCTCTGCCGCTCCGATGATTTGACTTTCGGAAGAATCACGTCCAACTTCTGTCGTTGACCCCTAACAATTCACTCGTTGGCCGCCAAATGACCTTTTTTTTTCTTCGCTTTCTGCCTTATGGTTTCAATGTTAGTTTTTACAAGTGTGGGAAATTGGAAAGCGAAATATCTCCCATAAGGAAAGGCGAATGGCGCCGCGTTCTTTTCCCTAACGGATGAAATAAGGAAATTGGCCGGGGTGGAAACAGAGGCTCGGCGTCGCGTCTAAAGTTTGAATGATTCCCTCATCAGGCGCCACGGCCCTCTGGGGCGCCCTCGGCGGCGGGCGGCGGCGGAGGCGGCGCGAGGGGCGAGGCGCTATTCCCTCCTGCCGCCCTCACAAGCGCCTCGCGCACTGACGTCAAGTGAGGAGAGCGACGCACACCATCCCTGTCTATCCGCCTCACTCGATACATACTCTTTCTCTTTATCTGATTCTTCTACCTATAGCTATATGTATTAAAAATCACTGACAAACAATCATTAATTGCTATCATACCAGTTCATACCAGTTATAAAACTATAATAAATCTATCGTTCAGTGATGATGTGAAAATTATCTTTCAAATTACCAGTAATGCATATACATGAACATAGATTCAGAACATACAGAAACCCATATAGTATTCTCTCTCACTTCACTTTCTTTCTATTTCTCTTGATCCCTTCCTCTCTTTCACACTTTCTCTCTTTCTCTCTTTTTCTTTCTCACACACACACACACACACACACACACACACACACACACACACACACACACACACACACACACACACACACACACACACACACACACACACAGAACACATACAGAGAGGGAAGGACGGAGGAAAGAAGGGAGGGAGGGAGGAAAGGAGGGAGGGAAGAAAGGAGGGGAGGGAAGAAAGGAGGGGAGGGGAGGGGAGGGGAGGGGAGGGGAGGGGAGAGGAGAGGAGAGGAGAGGAGAGGAGAGGAGAGGAGAGGAGAGGAGGGGAGGGGAGGGGAGGGGAGGGGAGGGGAGGGGAGGGGAGGGGAGGGGAGAGGAGGGGAGGGGAGGGGAGGGGAGGGGAGGGGAGGGGAGGGTAGGGGAGGGGAAGGAAAGGAAAGGAAAGGAAAGGAAAGGGAAAGGAAAGGAAAGGGAAAGGGAAGGGAGAGGCAGAGGAAGAGACAGAAACAGACAGAAACGCAAATTAAATATTCCCCGCTAGCCAATCTTATCTGTATAACGAATATGATCATAACCAGAAATTGGACTCGAGAACCAAGAGAAAATATTCCCGATCAAAGCTACGGTGTTCCGCTACACAAGGGCAGTGTATCAGTGTATGTGCTTCAAACGCCGGGACGCTGGCAGTGGATTGCGTGTGAGAGCCAAAGGAAAGTGAAAAAGTGGCGTTGGCTGAAAGAACCCTGGGATAGTTCTGGGATTGTTCTGGGATAGTTCATGCTGGTAATGGGAAAGTCGGAGTTGACGTTAGGACAAAATTTTAAGTTGTGACTTGAGTGAGTGAATGAATGAATGAATTGAAAAAAAAAATGAATGAATAAACGAGCAGATGAGTGAGCGAGTGTGACCTTGAGTGCGAGTATGAATATGAATATGAGTATAATATGAGAATGAGTATCAGAATAAGTATGGGTATCAGTAAAAGTGTGTGCACGCGCGCGCGCGCGCGCGCGCGCGCGTGTGTGTGTGTGTGTGTGTGTGTGTGTGTGTGTGTGTGTGTGTGTGTGTGTGTGTGTGTGTGTGTGTGAGTTTATGTGTGTGTGTTTATGTGTGTGTGTGTTTATGTGTGTGTGTGTTTATGTGTGTGTGTGTTTATGTGTGTGTGTGTTTATGTGTGTGTGTGTTTATGTGTGTTTGTGTTTATGTGTGTGTGTGTTTATGTGTGCGTGTGCGTGTGTGTGTCTGTGTACGTGTGCGTGTGTGTGTCTGTGTGCGTGTGTGTGTGTGTGTGTGTCTGTGTGTGAGTGTGAGCGTGAGTGTGAGTGAGTGCGTGTATGTGCATGTATTTGTGTGTATTTTTGTGTATGTGTATATCTATGTGTATATGTATGTGTATATGTATGTGTATGTGTATGTGTATGTGTATATATATGTGTATATGTATGTGTATATGTATGTGTATATGTATATGTATATGTATATGTATATGTATATGTATATGTATATGTATATGTATATGTGTATGTATATGTGTATGTATATGTGTATGTATATGTATATGTGCACCTGTATGTGCCTGTGCATGTGCATGTGCACGTGAATGTGAATGTGAGTGTGTGTGGCAGGGTGTGTGTTTCAGACATACAAAGACACGCGCATCACGCACATGCACGTATACACACACAGAGACATACATATATACATACAAACGAATATGCGCATGCACGACAAAAAAAAACGCGCGCGCACGCACACGCACACGGACGCACACACACACACACACACACACACACACACACACACACACACACACACACACACACACACACACACACACACACACACACACACACAAACACACACACACACACACACACACACACACACACACACACACACACACACACACACACACACATACACACAAGCGCGCGCGCGCGCATATACACTCGCTCACTCACACACGCAAGACAGGACAGGGACCACAAGGGGTACTCACGTCGCTTTGCCTTCTCGCAGGAAGAGGCAGGAGAGAGTAAGGTCCAGGGAAGCCGACACGACTTTTTTGCTGAGCGGCCTAAGTTTGACCTTAACGTCGTGCTGCGTGCTGAACCCTGCATACTGTTTCATGTTGATCTGCGCCGTCGCCACTTGACGCCGCTTGCCCGTCGACGACACCTGCGGAAATGATGGGCAATTTTGGGTGACCATTTCTCGTATGTATATTTTCCCAGGCTTAGAGATGTTAATGAATAAAGAATACTGTGTAAGTAATAGCTACAGGAAAATCCACTAACTCACAGTTTTTTCTGACATTAAGTGATAAAATATCAAGGAATAAAAATACATGAGTTGTCCCTAAAAGTTTATTTTCCATCGTTTCCCCAAGTGATGGTGACCGTTTTCTCTTAGAACACGATGAGAGAAAACCTTCCCGGGGAAACTATTATATTTAGTCAAGGCATATTCATCTTTACATGGTTTATGAATTACGTAATATAATTTTAAAAAGTTCGTTCCAAATGAACGATATCATTAATTTACGTCTTTCCCATCTATGTACCAACTTACATATAACGCTCTACAATCATTTCCAAAAAAATAAAAATAAATAAATAAATAAAATAAGCCAAAGCATTTCGTCTATGCTAATATTAATCCCATTAACTCTAAATCATAGACGGCTTAATGTAGCTAATCTCTCCCTTGCAATATAAAACACAATTGACCATCTATTCGCGCAGCCCTCAACAAAACAGCCTCGAACACTCACGTCCTCTATAACGAAGGTCCACTCCTTGTCTTCAAATTCATTGGTGCGGTTGTCCCTGAAGAGCGTAACAGTGATGGTGGTGTTGGTGGGGACGGCCCAGACGCACAGTCCTTCCAGGGGGTTCCTCATGGAGGGCTCCCATGCCGGGGCGTCGTGCACCACTCGACGCGTCCGCCGCAGCCACACCACGCTCAGCTGGCTCGGCTGCCTGCAATGTCAACGGGCAAAGGTTAGGACAACATGGAAAAAAATAACATCAGATAAAACTTCACTGTCACATATCAGTCTACCTGTCTGTAAAAAAAAACTATTGGAAATTAAATGATATATACGAATTTACGCATTGAATGAGCCAAGGTCGAACATCGCTATCATGAGTTCTTACCATGAGGATATTATCAGATAGTGCAGCTTCCACGTAAAGGCACAAAATCAACAGATAAATCAATAAAAGGGTAAAATGAGCAGAAACAATCAATTTTCTATACTTTCCGAAGACACACGAAAACATTTCAAGCCAGAAGAGTTCCTTGTAATAGTGTCCCTTGCAAAGGTTGAGAGGTTGAAAAAAAACGAGAAAAGATCGTGCTTGAGGCGAGGCTGAATTCAGATCAGTGTATCTTTGCAATAATAAAGTGTTTGTAATGCACGTCTTATAATGCAGGAAATATCAAACTACCTAGCATCGTCGTTTACCCTTAAGTTCGGGAAATGGTAAAGTATGAATTCTCTCCCTTTTCACCTCTTCTTCTTCTTCTTCTTCTTCTTCTCTCTCTCTCTTTCTCTCTCTCTCTCTCTCTCTCTCTCTCTCTCTCTCTCTCTCACACACACACACACACACACACACACACACACACACACACACACACACACACACACACACACACACACACACACACACACACACACACACAAACACACACACACACACACACACACACACACACACACACACACACACACACACACACACACACACTCACACACACTCACACACACACACACACACACACACACACACACACACACACACACACACACACACACACACACACACACACACACACACACACACACTAATAAAAATAACAAAAACAATAATAACATGAATAATGGATAGCAATTACAATAATAATGATAACAATTACAACATTAACAACAATAATGATGGTGATAACAATTACATTACCAACAACAATAATGATGGTGATAACAATAACAATAATAACAACAACAACAACGGTGATAATAGGAGTCGAGGAAAATGAACGCCCATGCCACTTATCACCAGAAGAAAAAAAAGAAACGCATGACTTCCGCTCTCCCTCCAAGTAAAGGTTTCATAAGCGACACCTCGCCCTTTAAAGCTTCGCCCGGAGGCAATTGTCACCAGGAGTCGCATCGCCGGAGCAAACGAACTCCACATTAAACTCGTAAAGAAAAAAAAAACGCTAAAATGCACCTCTAACGCCTCCCTCCTGATCTAAAATGGCGGCATCCATAGCGTCTCGGTTTCTAATTAATACTGCCCAAGGAGGTTACTTTCCACAACTTTGCCTTCCGAGATAATTTGAAAACTTCATTAAACTCGATATATAAGTTGGAACAGTATTGGTTTTCTCATTTATTGGGAGGCTTAGGGGTGGGCTCTATGCCTTCCGAGACGGTTGGGACAATCTTATCAAGTGCAAAGATAACATACACGGAACAGTAATAACTTCATTGATGATGATGGCATTGATAAGGCTAATTGTGGCATTAGCACAATTAGCCTAATTCCCTCATCATTTTACATTTCATAACATTTTTGGCTTTCTTACAGTTATCGACATTACTACAATTACTACTGCTGCATAGACGGATACAGAGCCCGCTCCCCCTTCCTCTCTCTCTCTCTCTCTCTCTCTCTCTCTCTCTCTCTCTCTCTCTCTCTCTCTCTCTCTCTCTCTCTCTCTCTCTCTCTCTCTCTCTCTCTCTCTGCCTCCGACATCCGAACCTATCTCCGTACCATCGCGGGTCATCACTAACAACAGATCATAAGGGAAATGAGGGTGAAATTAACAGAACCTGTCCAAGAAGAATGCCGAACATAGATCATGGTACTTGAACACTTTACTCTCTACATCTTCACTGAGAATGGATCCTCAGGTGTGGGTGGCCTGACAGGAGTAAAGAGACTAGCCGATGTCACGTTCTATCCGCCAGATATTCTGTTGGACGCATCACACTCCTTCCCGACAACCATGGCCGTGTGTAGAGCCCGAAGTAAATCGCGTGCAAGTAATTTACTCGCACGCAAAACGCCCGAAGGAAGTTACGTGAATGTGGTATTCAAAGTCCGAAGAAAATTGCGTCGACGAATGAAGCAATTTACTCGCAGGCCTACATCTTATCCGGCAAGGCTAGAAACAAACGAACGGATGAAAAAATATCTGCATCCTCGTATTCTTTCCTGATGCATCCAAAGGTAGAAACATTTAATACGCCACTCTAAAGCCAAATGAAAATCTGGAAGCGAAGTGGTCTTACGCGCCAACCACTTTTCTCCTAATTTTCTCATTTCTTTGTAATAAAATTGTATGTATTCTGTTGTGTAACTTTTCATAAATGTCCTCACATGAAGCTAGTTAGCATCGCTGCAAACGCAACCTAAATTCAAACTTACTGACGACAGTCTTCTGAGGTACACATAATAAATGTAATTGAAA